CCAGATAAATCACATAACCAGACAAAGATAATTATCATAAAGACCATTATCTTATAAATACCTCTTTTTGGTGGGTCGGCATTGTGGCCTTAGACCGACCCCTACTGGAAGGTAACTCACCTCAATGTCGTGCAGTGTCTGAACTATCCTCGGCGCACAAGTCGACTCCCTACAACTCCTCGATCCCTATACGACAACCTTCAAGTCAACACACATTGCATACAATCCTAAACAGGGTCGGCCCAAGTCCAGTCAAAGTCAACATTCAGTTGACCTGACTCGCCGAGTTGGCCTACCAACTCGTCGAGTCCCTGCCTCACTAAACCCACATAAGACCCCGGCTCCACTTGTTGAGTCTAGCGAAACTCAACAGGTTCTCCTTCAGTCATAAAATCAGGACCATGTTCATTCGACTCGCCGAGTTCCTTCTTGAACTCGTCGAGTTCATCTCCAACTTAAGAACTTGTCCAGTCTATGACTCGCCGAGTTGTATGAACAACTCGTCGAGTCCATCTTCAAAGATTGGGAGATTGCTATGGACTCGTCGAGTCCGCTCATACCACTCGCCAAGTCCCAAGGCTTCCAGGCCCCTTTTCGCGTCTAAACCCACAAGGGACCTCCTTCCTATCAATTACCCATTCACAGGAAGGGTTTGGTGCACAATGGTCACCGACTCATCGAGTGCCAAGAACAACTCACCGAGTCCAGTCTTGACCAACTCAATACAGTCGATTTAAATGAGGTTTAACACATCAAAACCATAGACCTGGCCTCATAATGCCCATTTTATACATAAAGTTCAAAACTTAATGCACATGCATGGGGTTTTTAGCTCAAAATTCCATATAAAGTGTCTTACAATGTGCATGGGGCTCTCATGGCCCTAAAGTTGTGCCACGAGACCCCTCTTAAGGCCCAGATCTGAAGCTAAAGTCCACATAACACTCCTTAAATCCGAAAATGGCTTGAAAAGCCCTAAATGCACCCAAGATCCACATTCTAAAGATGAACAACCAAATGAAAGACCAAAGTATGAGCATTTTACCTTGATTAAGCAGAAAATGGAATGAGATTTTTGGATCTACAAGCCCCAAGTCGAATACTCAAGCTCCTCTTCTTCCTTCCAAGATTCACATGTCAACAAAAGCACCAAAATGGCCTTAACAAACACATATACGGCTAGGGTTTTTTCTATGCAGCTCTAGGGGAGTGTTAGGGACAAGGGAGGCCGAGTTAATGTGTTTATATAGGGTACAAACCCGCATATTAGGGTTTTTGTTCAGACAGCATGGACTCGTCAAGTCCGACTTCCAACTCGCTGAGTCAGCTACATGACTCTTGGGTCCAATTCGCTTATACTCGATGAGTTGGGCCACCAACTCGCCGAGTTCCAGGCTAAAATGCAAAATGCTTAATTTAAATTACGTACTAGGAACCAGGTGTTACAATTTGATTCTTCGATTTGATACAATATGCACATACGTTTCCATAATAATGATTCAAATCCATATATGAAAGAATCGGCATTCAAATATTTTCTTTGTTTAAATTACACAATTATCCTCCTATTGTCTATGCGTAAATCAAAACAAAATCATTTATGTGATTTTCATGTCTTTTCTACAATTACATTCTCTTCTCGATATATATATATATATATATATATATATATATATATATATATATATATATATATATATATATACATACATATATATATATATATATATATATATATATATATATATATATATTACTGAAATCGTTCTTATGGTTTGGTCAAAATTGCACATTTGGTCCCTAAATTTTCTTTTGCACTCGGGTCGTCCCTATAGTTTAATTTTATTGCGTTTTTTGTCCCTTGCATACATAAAGTTAGGGGTCAAATGTGCAATTTCGACCAAATGATAGGGACGAAAAGCACAACAAAATCAAACAATAGGGACGATTTCAGTAATTTACTCATATATATATATATATATATATATATATATATATATATATATATATATATATATATATATATATATATATATATATATGCAACCAATCTTTTCCAAACGATTCCATATATCTATCATTGTTGTTGTTCAGTCATATTTCCTGTGGTTCATCATTCCTGTATCATCTTCGTTCACAAGTCAGACCTCGAATCCTCCTATTTTCTGTAATCAACTGTATTTCATTATTGGTTTGATGTTGGGGTTGGAAAACTCTTCTATTCAACATGAAAATAGAATTACAATACAAGGAGCAACTCTCACATTCAAATATTACAAAAAACCAACCATCTATTCTAACACTTTCACTCTAAGTGTTATACTTGAACCCTCTGTGTTTGGGATGCATAGAACTGAATAATGAAGCCTTTATTTATAGTTTTTGCAACTACCATTTATCCAAAAATCATTTATTGTGTTCATCATGGGGTAGGAAGAAAATATTGTCATCCTAGGAAGAAAATGGTTCCATAAAAAATGGTGGACTTCTAGATGGATGCTAGAAGTCAGCATTTTATACGTTTTCGTTTGTGTTTTCATCTTTGTGTGATAGACAATTACATAATATACTCACATTTGTGCTAGTATATTCCATCTATACTTCATCTACTATACTTCATCTCTGGTTGTATTTTATCTTTGTTTTATTTTTCTTTTGATAAAGTATCAAGATTTCTCTTTACATGTATCTTTATAAATGTTTTTTTTATTTAATATTAAAGATGTGCAATCAATCTTTTTATAATTATGCACAACATATGTTTGTGTTTTTGCCTCTATGGTATTATTTTTTATTTACGGACTTGATTTTTTTTGTGTTCACTCCTTTTACCACTAGTGTTTGTTTTCTTGGAGAATATAAGATAAAAGCCCATAAATTACTAAAAGTCATAATTAATAAGTTACAATAAACAATATTAGAAAATTAAATAAGTTAATACATATAATAAGTTTAAAAAGGCCATTAAAGACTATTTATGTCATTTTACAAAATTTAATTTCTAATTCCTTTATAAAATTAGCAAACAAAATAGAAAACATATTTCATTCCATGTCAACCAATTGCATTTCAACTTCTAGAAATTCAATTTTCAATTTCTTCAGATTCCAATTCATTTTAAAGATTTCATTTCTTTCAAAAACATGCTACGAATTAAACACACCTAAATCATTGAAAATGTGATGAACGGGGTGATTAAGATATTGATGTTAAATAGGCAAACCGGTATGATTAGAAGCTTCATTTAAAGGCATTGCGATGGATTGATGTCACCTATGATATCACATCACAAAAGTTTTTACAGACTCTAAAAATGTTTGACATAAAAACTAAATTCATCAAATTCAATTAAAACATCCTTTTAACAACTAAACCGACGAGCATACATTAGTTTTTTTTTAATATTTTTGGTGTGACAAGCGTGTGATTTAATGATAAGGTGTGATAAAGATTGATTTACCAAAGTGTGGTGTGACCCGTATGGCATTCAAGAATCTTTGATCCGTCCGAACTAATACAAACATACATGAAGATATAATAAATAAAACATGACTTAAGTATACGTGCATTGGCATGGAGATTATATGTTTCCTCAGAATCTATACACCATCAGTTATTTGCATGGTCGCTCAATCATATCATATGGCATTGAACAATTATGCCATGGCAGTCTCTTAGTCTTTGTTAATCAAAGGCCCAAAACCAAGTCCATAAGGGCTGGATTGACTGTTGCAAAGTAACCATGGACTGCCCAATTGATCTACACAAATCGATATTTATGTATCTGCTGTAAAGATACAAACTCATTTTCGTCCATCATACATTGTCAATTTTTCTTTCTACAAATCTCTAAATTAAATAATGGCACGTGTTTAAAAAATTCCAGATTTTATCCGAAGCAAAATAGATGTGATATTTGAATATTGTATTTAAATTGTTGGGTGAATATATTACAGATGATTTTGTTACAAAGTAGATCGCCCTCTTATTGAGATATTGGCAAATTTTGTTGCTATTGATCACTTGGTTACAAGATGGTTGGATCTTTGGCTCATAATTAACATTGAAAGTAAAGAGTGCCAGATGGGTTTACTGGAATCGGTTTCTTTGCAACTTGCAAGCTTCAAGTTCGTGATCACTGAATGTATGGAACTACAATGGAGTTTGTGAGTTTGTTGGGGGTTTTGAGTTTCATTTCACGATTTGATGTTAGTTGTGTTTTTAGCTTAAAGTTCATTGCCTCTAGGATAGTTGGTGTATATCTTTATTTTACTTTCATTGTTGGAGAATTTTCATGTATTTCATGAAATTTATGTTAATTATTTGATGTTTTTGAAGAAGATAGTTCAAGGTAAAATGTTTTTTTTTTATTATTATTATTTAGCACAACAATTATAAGTTTCGACTCTAAGTTTCAACCCTAAATTATTGACATTCTTAAAACTAAAATTGTAAGAATTCAAATTCTAGCAAATAGTCCCTAAGTTATCTTGGACTGAATGGCCAAAAAACACAAATGTAGCAAATGACATTTTGTAAAGTTATGTTGTTTTCTAGGACTAGGAGTTTGCTAGACTCCGTAAAAATACTTCATTAAATGAGACAAAACTTTCCAAATCAAACCCTTTATGAACATTAATGTATTGTAAAATACCTATATTTATTTAGACTTATCTACATAAAGATAAACATTTTTCCCGATAAAAAATCACGAGTTAAATAAATCATAGAAATACATCAAAATAGCAGGGACAATGCATATGGGTGGGTTCAGATGTTTGGAAATGGAAAGGGTAATACCTCCAAATTCATTAATTCTGACGAGTCAAACCTCTTCCATGTCAAACTTGTACCTTAGCTTAGATACCCAACACCCCTGTCCCCGTTGACATTTTTACATAAAATATTCATATTTATTGCACCAAGTACATCATCACAAATCTACGGGCGTTCAAGTCATGTAAAACAACTTATTACAATTTTGTTTCATTCGAATCTGAGCTTGTGTTATGTTAATTTGCTAAAATGCTACCTCTGTACGAACAAATTAATTAAATGCATGTAATAATACTAGTATATCAATAATATGATTATAACATCCCCACGTATATCTTTGCGGACTTTTTGACATGAAATGTGACTTACGTTGACTATAATAATTCCACGTATTTTAATATATAATAACTGGAATAAATCCTCACGAAATAGTATAAGCTATGCTTTAAGTTTAACGTACATGTAATGTAAAATACCCATATATAAAATATATTGAATATTGCAACTAAAGAATCTGATACTTATGCCTATGAAAACTTTCATTGAGGGATCGACTTAGCTATTGGAATAGATTGTATCTGTTGGAAATGAAGATTAAAACGGACGAATATTTTTATGTTTATCAACTACTGATATTTGCATGCACAAAACTAATAATTTGTTGTACCGAATTCGCTATGTCTTCAGCAGAAAACCTCGGTTCGCTAGCAACCTATACAAATTGATTGATTATCAAACACATTAGATACAGATTCGAACAGAAAAAAGAGGAAGAATTAACGCAAGTGTGAATCAAGGAGAAGTATATGGTGATACCTTGACATTGAATGAATAGAGCACAGTTTGTTCAATGGTGGTGATGTTGGTATGGAGGATATTGAACTGTAAATCTTCAAGTGCAGCGATGATTTTAATAAGCTGACCAGACCTTCTCCGACACAAAATCTTGATCATGGCGTCAAACCCTAAAAGTCGCACTTCGACATCAGCCAAACATGACTTGCTCTCCGCCATCTCTTCCTTGAGTCCACCGTCGAATTCAACCAGCTTCATTTGATCATCAGGCGGAGGGTAGAACACTCCCGGTGGACCTTGTTGAGCTTGCTGAAGGATTGGAAGAGATGACGAATCTCCGACGACTCTGGGAGTGTCGCCATAGAGTCTTCGTCGTTTTTGTGACTCCAGACATTGAAGAAGTTGTTCTAATTCTCTCACAAACTCGATTGCACCACCGATAATTGAAGCTTGATCACCCTATACAGTTAAAGTAATCGTCAAAAAGAGTTTTTAGGAAAGCTAAAGATAATTAAGTAGATAAATTTCATACCCTTTGAACATAAGATCCTGGCATGAGAGACCTAAGAACACGTAAATGTTCGTTCATTTGTTTTCGTCTGTTTCTTTCGACTGCGATATGAGTCATTCTTTGGCTCTCAACTTCTTCACTCGTCTTTATAGTTCTTGGTCTTTTTCTCTTGTTCTTTCCATCACCGACTAGGGTTTTATGAGCATCTTCACCGATAAATTGAAGTCGAACAGACGTACCTTCAGAAACCCTACCTTCTTCATCTCTTTCTCCTCCATCAATCACTACTCGAGTCTCGTTTTCATCGTCTCCAATAGGAGCAAGTAGACTCTGATGATCTTCTTGAATATTCCTCTCGTTTAAAACTGGGAATTTCAAGAAGTAAACCGGATCTATCCCATTTTCTTGATCTTCATCATGATGATGACTTGTTTTATTTTGGTTCAAAGCCAACTTGGGTCCAAGATCTGCAAACTGCATCACATCTGCAAAACTTAACTTATCCAACGAGTTTGAGGTACAAAAACCACCGGAATTAGGTAGTTGTTGTATTGGATTATTGATTAAGTAATCCACCATTTGGTTCCCATTCTCGTATGTGTTTTTAACCATGAACTGCTGATTGTGGTGCTGCTGATGCTGATGAAGATGATGATGGCCATGGTCATGATCACCATTGAAGTCGACCCCAAGAAAACCTCCCTGCAAGAGTTCGAATTCAGTGTAAAACAACATGGTGATGAAAAAAGATGGATATTTGTGGTTCATATGTTCATACCGAGTAGTTGGTATCATCTTTCTCCATGGGTATATATATACAAAACAAGAAAGACTTTGACCAATAATCGAAACCAAAAAGACAAAATCTTATGTAATTTGCATGATAATATGGGTCCAGAATTTAGTAAAATAGTAATCAATTAGTAAATGATGGAGATAACGAAGTGGGGTTAGGCCAAGAACATATGGACAAAGAAGGGGAAGCTAGGCAGAGCTATATATGGTCTTAAATATGCATGAAGATCAAGATTGTGGCGAGGTTTATCTCTATGTAACGTGACATAGTTGGTCTGCTAGGGATAGCTTTGACTTTATATGTATACATTGTACACGAATATTTTTTTAATATAAAGAAATAGAGAAATTAAAATTATTATTTTTATGTGAAAGAGGAGCCTTTGGATTGATTAATAAGCAGCTCACAAGATCACCTCTCAATTTTTACACCACCTTTTTAATTAATGTGAATCACAAGCACACAACGCTCTTTACCACCATCACCTTCTCTTCTCATGACACGCTTAATTCATTAAGACGCTCACCTTTTCAACATTTGAATTTTGAAATTTCAGTTTGACGTGAACTTATGTATTATCTAATAAATTGTTAAAATTATTTTATATTTTATATTAATTAATAAATGGCAGAAAATAAGGTGTGTATTTAGAGCCCTCTACATCCTTGGGAACGTAGTTATCTAAACTCTCATTTACTAGAGACCGGCTTTTGCAACGAGCCAGGGAATGGAAGATGTAAGAAAATGCGAAGATTTCTATAAATATAAACTTTAATTGTTTGTCATTTATGCAACTCATTGTTATATATATTAGGACAAATAAGCATGTGCTAAGCTGAGAAATATATATATCCACAAGCTTTTTTAATCATCATAAACAGCTGATTATTTTTTACATTAATTGTAGAACTATAGGTCCATAATGGACGCAAATCATATATAGTCTAATCACGGGTTTTTAATATAGCTTTTCTTTTTAATATAGCTACTTAGGTCATTTACTTACGTTATTTCTCCCTTCATCCATGAACAATTAAATGGAATGTTGATTATGCAACCTATGTGCTTCCTACATGCATGACATTTACAAGAATTTTAGATGTAGGCAGACAAAAGGATTAAATCTGTAAAGGTAGAGGATGATATATCTTAGGGCTAATGGGATAAAAGCCTCTATGTTTTCGTATAAATGTTCCGATTTACACTTTAACTTAGGTATTTATAGTTCATTAAAAATGGATGTGTTTAACATTTTTTTGTCAAGTTTACCTGCGTCATATAGGCGCTGACATGGTGATTATTTATTTTGTTATATATTTTTATGAATGCATGTATATATTTTGATTCAAATATATTTTAAATATATAAATATAATTTTAAAGCTAAAAATATGTTTTTGAAAGTACAAATATACTTTAACGGTATTTATACATTTGAAAAACATACTTATACATTTAAGTACATATTTATATAGTTGAAAGCATGTGTATACCTTTAAAAACATATTTATACATTTATAATGTATTTATGTATCAAAAATTTATATTTATTAGTATTTAATAGGTATAAATATATATTTATTTCGTATAAAAAATATCGTTTACATATGAAAATGAAAAAATCTATTAGTGTGTTTTATATTGTATAAACCGCATATTTATACATGTTTTACACAGATTATTTCTGGTGTAGTTGTCAAAATATGTGATTAGACTTTTTTTTTAAATTAACTAAGATCACCCCATATCATTAAATGTTGCATATTTCGTCCTTTTTGACATGAAATAACTAAATTGTGCATTCATTTTTTTTTAATATTTAATTTTTATTTACAAATTAAATAAATTAAATTAATATGAATTTTTTTGGGTGTCATTAGCTCCCACACCCCCCTTCATCATTTCCTTTTCCTTCCATATCGTTCACCTATAGGCATCACCAGCACCCATATATATCGGCACCACCCTCAACCGTCAACCATCTTATCTCGTCTCGTCTCAACCAAAATATAAACAACTACAGCTTGAGTGAGAATATTTTAATTATCTATTTGTCCCCTAAATCTATTGGATTAGGTGTCTAAGCTCATAAATATATTTGGTATGTACTTGATTTGATATGTAGCATGGTCCTTTTGGATTGCTTCACTCATTCAACTTGATAGGATGACTAGAGGAAAGAGAGAGAGAGAGAGAGAGAGAGAGAGAGAGAGAGAGAGGGGGGGGGGAGATTAGGATTTATTATATGAATAAAAAATTGGTACTTAGAATGATTTTATTAATATACTATAACATTAATATATTATTTGTAAATCATATTATGAATTAGTAATTAATCAGCAATTAATTTGATATTAATTTTGTGATTAAAGTAACTGATTAATAATGGAGGGACTGGTTTTGCAAATCATTGATAGCTACAAAGTTGGGTTGATAGACTCATATGCAACAACTAGACGAAATCTATAAGAGGCCCTACGGAATTCGTCTAAGGCTTCTATTATGGAGGTTCACAGACTACTTAAGGCCTAAGCAAGGAAAGTAGGGTTTCCACCTTAAAACCCTAATAGCCTTAATTATATAAACTCTCCAAGGCTAAGGATTTCGTCCCTAAGCTTCCAAGAGTTTCCCTAGCCGATTTTTACCTCTCTCCTTCTTCATTCTTTGCATTGAGTGTTTGTGACTCCATTAGAGGTGCAACAGTTGGGGCACTAAGCTTTCAAGAGTCAACGACTTCATGAATTGTTCTTGTTATTACAATATAACAAGTGAGGTAATCACCAAACCGTAATATATATGTGAATTTCGAAATTATATATACTAGATCTAGAGTTATTGCTTTGGTGTTCATATTTGCATGTTCAATAGAGAAAAACTTAGATCTAAAGCAATTAGGGTTGCATGTGCACATAGAAATGTTGCAATGCTCGTAACACATCAGTGGTATCAGAGCCTAGGATGTTTTTTCAATTGAATTGGTGAAAGAGTACACTGCTAAAAGAACAATAAATCGATTTTTCTACTATCTGGCACTTGAACTCGACGAGTTCCATAGAGGACTTGACGAGTTGCTTGAACTCGGCGAGTTCACTTGCCAACTCGGCGGGTTGACTCGCTTGGTTCCATATTTTTTGTTTTTTGATCAGATTATGATTTGGATTATTACCATAACTCGTTTAATGCCTAAATTCGATTTTCCTGATTGGTATGATATATCCTTATCAAAATTTAAGATTTGGTTAAATATGGATAATATAAGATTATTTTGATTCAAATATTTAACTTAGTAATTTTGAAAAAGTTTTAAATTACACCATCTTGGTTTTATAGTTTAAATTTGAAATTAATAGTTTTTTAATTTTTTGAAAATTAAAATGGTTAAACCTAAGTATTTTGAAACGTTTCAAAAATGCACCTCATGGTTTTATAATTTAAAATTTCATTAAATAACTTTAATTTTGAAATCTTAAATTTAGAACCTTGGTATTTTGAATAGTTTAAAAAATACACCCTATTGGATTTTATTAATCAAATTAATTAAGTGTTTAATTAAACGAGAGAATTAATAAATCCATAATATCGTTTAAAATTTAACTAAATTAAAAGTCTAATTTATTAAAGGATTACACCAGTTAGAATTTTAACAGATTAAAATACACCCTTATACTATATAAGATTAAAAGTTTAATTTTATATATATATATATATATATATATATATATATATATATATATATATATATATATATAAGTAAAGGTTAGTGTTATCGTTAGTAGGCATTATTTACGAAGCTGGTCTATAAATGGTGTTTAAGGAAGCGGCCTATAAAATAACTGTTATTGGGTATCCACTCTTACCGACCGCACTCTTGACTAGTGGAAGGTCACTAACCGAACGGGTAGGATATGACATTCTCATTAACAAGTATAATGAAAATACAAAGTAATTAAACCTTTTACAAATTCCAAGTCTTAGTTACTTTAGGAAAATGTGAATTTGATGCTAACCCATGAAAATGCACATTGCACCTTACTGGTCAGTTAGTGGAGCGTGTGCGGGTAACCGACACACTAATGTGGGCTAATGAAGGATGTCAATGGGTAGCTTAGAAATTATAATAGACGAATGGAGTGTGTATGGTTAACCGACACATTGATTTGGTGATAAATGACATCGAGAGTACCAAGCCAATTTGCATGGTTATTCATACATTGTTCGTGATCCTCGGTATCCCAGTCACAAACTTGAAGGGCATAATCGAGATTAAACATGCCATTGAAATGTTCAATGAATCTTAAAATATCTAGGAGTTTCATCTAAAACTTAATTCATAAAATTTTGTTTTCATGGTGGAATTGGCAAATCGTCATTTACCTACCTTCAAATAATTTGCAATTGGATTATGGCATCCATCTTCCGAATTGTGTATTATTGTGTTGGGTCCTAGCCTTAATATTTCATTTGGATGTTATATTAAGGATTGTATCAACTAACTTGAATTTCTCCCTTTTGTAGATGTCTAATTCAAACAACTTTGGTTTTCCTCAATCCTTTGGAAAAGGCTTTTCTTCTTAATATGATCTTCCACGTGTCGATCAAGCTGAAAGATCAATCCCTCATCCGTGTGTTGATGGAACCAGAAATCATACTTCTTTTCTTCCACCTCCTCCAGTAATTCTCCCTGGCCTATGTGTTCGTCGATTTGAAAAGTTCAAGGCCACTCAAGCCCTATTGGCATGCAAACATAAAGATGGAAACTCTGTATGTGCACATGTTCTAAACATGAAGTTGCACCTTGACAAACTGGGAATGTTGGGTGTCGTCTTCCCTAGGAAGTTGGTTGTTGACTTGGTTCTTCAATCACTTCTCGAGTCGTATAGTCAGTTCGTTCAGGACTGCTATATGACAGACCACAACGTGACCCTTATTGATCTGACATATTTGTTAATTGCTGCTGAATCAACAATGATTTAGCATAATGGTAAAGCAAAATTGATTGAAATATCCACTTCCCAAATTTCCATGGGTATAGACGATGACAACGGTGATAGTCCAGAAATGATTTCTTCTCCTAAAGGAGAGAAATTGGCCATGGTTGAAAAGTTTGATCATAAGAGAAAGGAAAATTCTGAGATAGTTCCATGTGTCATTCTCAAAGAGTCCATATGTTTCTATTGCCAAGAGAAGGGGCATCGGATGCGAAGCTGTCGTATCTACCTGAAAGATCGTAAGGATAGTAAAGTCAAATTGTATCACTCTACTTCAGGTAAGTCCACTATCTAACTCTATTAAGTTCTTATTTATAGATTCTTAATACATGATGTGATATTTGTAGGATCGAAGAAAAGGAAGGAAG